AATACTACATCTGTCATGTTGTGTCACCTCTCTGCCATTCACAACTCCTCTCCCATGGCATTGTGGATAGTAAAGTGTTCACTGGATTCACACTTCAGAGCCTTGGTGGAAAAAATAGGTTATTTTGGTACTTTTTGTCTATGGTTATATAGTCATTTTGGATATACTACTCTTTTCACACACTGTTTTTCATCTACTATGTAATAGGGAAGTAGGCATATTCGGACACAAGGACTGTCTTCATTAGTGAGTCATTAAATTATTTTTTCAACCTATTTTTGTTCATCAACGCAAAGGCGTTATATTATTTTTACAAATTATTTTTAAAACAAAGAAACATTCATTCAATTGATTCTTTCAAAAACGCTGATTCAATTGCAACTGTCTTTATGAATAAATAATTGAATCATTCATTCAACTGTCTTGAAATTATTATGACTGGCATAGCAAAAACAGACATGGTAACTGGCAATATTGTGTCTAAATTGTTACTGTATATTAATTTGAAATGTTATATAAAACCACACAACCATGCTGCCTCCTTGTTATTTAGAATGATTTTTTTTTAAACTTCATAATTAGTTATTTTTCTTGGAATGACCAGGTCTTTACTCCAGTAACTTCCAGAAATGGCTCAAGCCGTCATTTGTCACATCTTTTGAATGGCAGATCATGAATCCGTGGCATAAGAAAGTACAGTTGTTCCACTCATAAGATGTTGTATGAAATCAGTCTGTTTAACAAAAAACTGTGAACTGTATAGTTCATATATTTATCAATATAGCCCAGGAAAGAATTTAACTTTCGATGCAGAGGTGCTTATACAAAGAGTGATTGTGATAGCACAGGCTCACGTTTAGATTAAGTTTCTATTTGTCGGAACAGATGTTTCGTCTGTGCTGTCATTCCTGTAACATCTTTATGAAACTAGCATGTCTCTTAATTAGTGCCCACATGTTCATTTATCCTCACCGTCACTCACTGTGAGAGCAGACACAAGCTTGTGTATGTTTCCACCCTTTAAACACTCACATCCTTTTAATTAAGCCTTAATTTTCCCCTGGCAGAAAGCTTCATGTAGCCTGCTAATTGAATTAATAGAGGGAAGATGTTTCTAAGTATGCACTTAGCTGATTTAATTAATGTGATTTATGCTTGGTTTGTCTCCATGAGACCCAGGGAGAAAGACAAGCATAATTTCCTGCCTTTTCTGCCATCGGTGGGCCGACAACGTGATAAATCCATGTGCTGCTGGGTGCTGTCTGTCACCGGTCACTTTTACTCTCTTTTATCCTCTGCTGTCTGTGATTCACAGAGTCTGGCAGCCAACTGGAAACACATCACCTCCGCCAAAAGGACTATCATCCACATCCCATCATTGGGTAATTCCTTTCCATCTGTTATGATGGCTTCTGGTCACATAATATTTTAAAGGGAAAAAATACATGTATTTGGGTGCACCTGCAGATAACACAGAAAATTGATTTACCAAAAACTTGTCATTGAGACCTGTGCTGGCTATTGGGGATGATGATGGTTGTGAATTGTAATCACCAGCAGATGGAGTGTGATTTTTGCACTGGGGGTGGCTGAGGAGAGGCCTGTGTGAGCTCAGATAATTAAGAAGTTGAACCCTATTGTTTTTATTGCCTCGCTCTGTTAGTTTGCATGAGTTTAATCATTTCATTATAGAGATTAGTTTATAGCAGTCTTTTTGGGATTTCCTGACTTGGAATAAAGTCATGTATTTATTTCTAAAATATTTAAATCTCATTTGAAATCATTTTGATTTGTTCAATAGGATATTCCCAACATCAGCGGCTCAGTCTCAGGGGATTTGATGTTCTCCAGAATACCCAGATGGGCCGACTGTGTGATATCAGAGGTGAGGGTGTGAACCATGACATGATCAAATTAGATTGACAGCAGTCACATGAAAGCAAACACAGTACTGTTTGTGTTGCATATAGATG